CTAACAAACACAATGTCCTGTTCAATAATTTCAGAATTCCAGTGATTTCCTGGGCGATAAAGTCAATAAATGTTTTTGCTTTTTTATTATTTGCGTAAGTGTTTTGTTTTGGGGATTAAATGACTAAAGCCACTAAAGGTGAGTTATGTCTCTAAAAAATTAGGCATGCCATAAGGGCACCGAGAACATTTCTTATCTGTGCCATTTCAATATTTACCGTGCCATTGCACGCTAATATAGGGGGTATTTCAAACCCTGCACACACACCTATCTGTTGTATTAATGCTGAACATGGTTAGTGACATGCCCTGACTAAACAACATTTCCATTGACACAATGGTGTCAGGAAAGAAGAATAATTTATAGGCTCAATGATCTAGTTCTTCCTAGCCAGCTATCTTCCCAGCCTGATTGAGACCACCAGCTAATCTCATACACTGAGTGGACTTTGGACCTGACTGGATTCCCTGGTGCTATCCACAGCACAGAAGCAGCTTGTGGTAATAGGACAATCTTCTCTCATGCACTGCCAGGGTTTATTGATTCCCGAATGTATAATTCAAACTGGCCTTTAGTTACAATGGCATAAATAGGACAAAGTCCAAATTGTTCCAATGACATGAACCTTCTACATGTACAGGCCCTGGAGGAAGGGGATTAACATTTATTTAGTGATGCAAGATTGTTCAAGCATGGCCATTGAACTTTTCTACATAGTTCTATTGCAGAAACGTTTGCATTTTATTTATAAACCGACCAGCAATGAGCACAATAGATTTTTAAATCAGATATTCCATAAATTATCAGAGCAGAGCATTCCCACTGACGCTTTTAACATGGCAACATTAAAACGCAAATGCAATATTGCCACCAGTGTTAATATGGTTAATGGTAGTTTCTCATCTTTCATATTGCCATGGTTACCATACTTTTATTACTTTACAGTACTTTACCATATTGAAATGTTCCCTACTAAAGAATTGCAAGTGCTACAGTCACAGTTGCCAATGATCCAAAATTTGTTTCCATAGGATACAAGACAGATCAATCCTAGAAGACATCTGCTGCGATAATGATGAGTGGTTCTGAACCAAAGATTACTAATACCAACATATCAGGGTTGGCCAGAAAAATAAGTGAACTGCTTTGACGATTGCTTTATATGATTGCTTTGGATGAATCACCACAGGGTGTCTTTATTTAAATCTCAGTGAATACTGAATAATATATGCAACACTGGCAATCAAATCCATAGAAACAAACTATCACAATTGATGTTTAGACCAAGTCAGCACTCAGACAACTGTTAGTAGAAGTTATACACTATCAACATTTTAAAGAAACATTATTTTAACTCAATGAAGGAAAGGCCCAAAAAGTATTTACCTTGAATTAAGAAATACAAAAATTGAATGATCCAGCCATCATCGGGATCATTATGTTTTTTATGATGGATGCATAAATAACATTGTCAAAAATCAGTCAAATCATATAAATTAATACAGGAGGAATATGAAAGAGAAATACTTAGTATAGAAGTGTATATCATATCTTTTCTCAATATGATTGCCTGCTTATTCAAATTAGTTTAATTTGAAAATATGTAAACAAATAAATTTAGTGCACAATGAGTATGATAGGAATACAATTCATTGAGACATGCAAAGATTTGAAATCACTTCCAAGATGCTTGCAGAATTGTTTAAAAAAACAATGGACATCAAACAATGTGTCAAAACCATAACACTATATCTGCCCATACTTGAAGTTATAAATATAACTGCTAAACATATATCAAACATGCTAACAAAGTAAAGTTCGTTCCTGTTGACTGAATGTCGGTATTTGCAAGTACTTCCTAAGAGATTATCTATATATTCAGCCTTTCTTCCATGAAACAAGTTCGATACTGAACATGTTGAGCAAATTGAAAACTGTTTTATCAACCACACCTACACCCTGTCTTTTACAGACAATCTGTCTTTTAAACCAAAATTTTAATCATTACAATGGACATAACAATTCCATTTCTGGAAGATGATGAACATATCACCAGAATTCATCTCGTGTGTTGAACAGTGATCAAGGACTTATTATATACATCACTGTAGAGCATGTGGAGTGTGAACTGAGATAGGAATTTCACCAACTGGGCAACATGCTCATCGCAATGTCCTTGTCTGTCTCCACATGTTGGATAATGGGAGTTAGGATTATCCTGCCAGATTAGAACAGATCATCCTTTATCCATCTCCAGTGGTCACCTGGATCAAGTGCTACACTGCCCTTTCTCACACGGCTGACAGGCTACACCACATGTTCAGTACACCTAATCCTATTAGCAAGATTAGATGTCAAGGTTAGTTCAGACATCTTAGCAGGCATGCTGTCAACATTTACACTGCATTTCAACATGTATTCAGTCATGTGGTGTTGGTGAACAATGAATACCAGACATCTAACAACATCCCTGAATAATTTCATAAACAACAGTTAAACAGCTTATGAAAGGAGACATTTTATTTGGCTTAAAATGACAAACACCTTAATCATAGGAATGATCCCAAATAGGCAGGAGTCTTGTGCAAGATTATCCATCCAGGTGTAATTCATGTAATCATGTTAATGAATGTACCTATCAAAGTGGACAGAAATATGACACATCAGCACTTATTTCAAACATTTGCCTTCTACTTACACAATAAACTACTGAAAAACACATTCATTCACTCACACGACACTGTTGTACATTATAAATGAACACAGACTATAGATGATGAAATTTTCATTTTCCTTGGGGATAATTATTATGTCCTCAGGCAACAATCGATACACATCCAATAAACGTCAATATTAATTTTCATCTGATCAGATCGTCCAGATAATGCCGACAAGGATTCATAATAACATCAATATTCCTCAGTTACAGTAGCATAGCTCATGGGTATACAGCTCTAGGATTGGGATTAAACAGTTCTATACAGTATGCCTTTGCTATGTGACTTGCATGTTTCCTTACCAGTATTAATCTACATACATAAAACTAGATATAGCTGCAGCAGTGAATATTTCTCTTGCTGTGATAATTAACAACGAATGATAGCCAATGAGTATTGATTTCCTTGTTCAGGATATATCACCACAGTAACATGACGTACGTAACTCCACAAGGACATATGTACCCGCATTAATCATTTCAGTTCCATTGATCCCAACAGCCTACAGAATGGCCTTGAACTTTACGTGTGCAAGGTCAGATCATTTTAACTTCAGGGAGCAATTTATTGACGTTTGGCGATAATGAACCACTAGGTGATAATATGGTTAAACTAAAATAGCTGAATCATGGGTGGAATGGTCAGGGTTTATAAGGAAAACTTCCTTCTCTGTCACCATGGTCACAACCTTTACTTGTTGATTTGCCTTGTTATTCATGAACATGTGAAACGGTGATGCATTAGCTGGTAGTAGTGACAGCATCAAAGTTATTTTGTATAAAAACATTTTCCAGTGATAGAAATAAATTTGTTTCAAAAGGTGCCATTGGGCGCCCTACAGATACTTTATGTGTGCCTTTGTGAAATGAGCCCATACCTTTTGATGATCTTATTAAACCTCAAACATCACAACAGTTTGTCGTTTCAATTTATTGTTAAATAAATCAGTAAACCTGTAAACTTGAGAGCTGGATTTCCTGAACACTATCACTGCAAGAATAGTTCAGCTTCATTTGTCCTGGACCCACAAACTTTATTAGCATCCAAAACGGGATTTCCTGTTATGTTCACTGTCATTCACAATGGCCACACCAATGGTAAGCTGTGAGACTGAGAGTGAGTGAGTATGGTTTTACACCGCCTTTAGCAATATTCCAGAGATGCCAACCCCAAAGTGTTGCAAATAGTAGTTTCAAGGATCAAAATTAGTAGTTTGACCATAAAATTAGCAGTCAACTAAATACTTCAAATCATGATGGATTCTGAAAAAGATAATATGACACTAATCAAAAGTGAAGCTTTCATTTCACATACCTCCAACAGCAGATTCCAAATTATCAGCATTACATTTCTTCTTGTCTCTTTTTGGCGAAAATGTATTTAATCAACGAAAATATATGTTTTTGACTATATATCCAAATTTCAATGAATTTTCTTCAAATTTCATAGAATTTCTAGTGCAATAGGCATAGTTTGAGGCCTAAATCTGTAGCGACTACGATAAAATTGTAGAGGTTGGCATCTCTAATATTCAAGTAATATAACAGCAGGGGACACCAGAAATGGCCTTTACGCATTGTACAAATGAGGGGAATTGAACCCTGGTCTTCAGCGTGAAGGTCGCCCCACAGCCCCGTGAGAGTGAGAATGCCACCAATGAACAGTTTGATGGGCATGCAAATATAGTTTTTCAATTGTTTGTCAAATTAAATCATATTTCCATAAAATTAATCATGGTGAGAATAATTTTAATAATTTTAGCTGTGCTGCCAGGCATCATTGAAAAATTTTATCCGTGCCATTTGAACCCATTTCAATATTTATTTTGCCATGGTACACAATAGGGCTGCACCACTATGTGGAGAAAATGATACGTAACACGAATGTTGGGTTACCAATACAAATAATTATTCCTGAATACAATAATGTTGTCAAGTAATTGCTGTACTATGTGCAACGCCCATGGTGACAGTGCTAATTTGTTACAACAATGACCAGTAATTTCATGACATCAAAATAGGTACAGTCATCCCTCGCCATAATGCCCCGCACTATGAGACACCTGTTTGTCCTTTAAAAAATCTTAGATATTCGGCTCCGGTGAATGCAAATAATGAATTGAATTCATGAACTGCTACAGTTAGATTCACCAAATATGCGAGTGAATCGTAACAGCCTTATTACACAAATTAACCACTTTTTTATCCCTGTTTTCCTAATTTGAAAATGGAAAATATCTAGAGCTTGTAGAAATGCTAGTAGTCTTAGTGACCAATGACTTACCACAATTATAAACCTTGGTCTGTATTGACAGGTGCCAAACAGGCCAATAATGACGCAAAACAGCTGGAAAAAGTTGCCGATGATGGGTGCCCACATAAAGCCTAGGAAGTCAAACACCTGCCGCTCAACCGTGCTCACCTGTAATATAAAATAAATAGAAAGAATGAAAATATTAGCCAAAAAACAGATGACAATACAAGTGATTATACAAAGATTAATAAAACTTCATTACGGTAATTAACTCTGAAATAACAAAAGAGGCAGTTTTCATCCTCTTCTGTGAGCACTTTTCTGTAAAAAGAATTGGTACTACAAGTTGATGTTGTTCAGGTATTTCTGGCCTAGGTCTACACTGATCACTAGAATGTTACACACTAAGTGTTGACACTTCACAAATTGATTTAAGAAGGAAACCTTAAACATATATCGATAAATATATTAAATGAAAGGGGTTCTGGAATCCTCGATGCATTCTCCTGCGGTATTTGAATCAAGGGACACCAACAAATGACCCACATTCTTAATATTTAACAATAGGGTTAAGAGGACCCTTTGTCTTTAACACTTAATCATGATGTGTCTGATATCACTTGTACAATACAGTATAGTATGCAGCTGCTCCAGACATATCTCAGAATGACTGACAATACCAGACAGTTAATTAAAAAAAACCCAGTGATTTCCACATTAGCTAGCATACACTGTCTTGACATGTTGTAATCTGTAGCTAATCTAGCTACATCATGTCAGATCCTGAGATAGTCATCATATCATCAAAGCATGTGCCTAGAGAACAAAGCATATTTGACACAGATAAAAAATGCTAAAAAACCAATACCTCTGTCTGGAGTATACACTTAACATTACTTGGCTTTTATCTTGCCTCAGCTCGTCTCGTGTATAATTATGCTTGTTTTCATTGTTAATCATCATGTTTATCATCCATTGTCATTGTTAGTCAGGAGTGAAAATAACCCATTGCCCGACGTCCGAGTCCAGTGGTTTTTCTGTTGGGCAAGCAAATTTGTATATCACACTGTACCGGTGTCCAGTTGACTTTCCAATGTTAATTATGTTGTTTATTTAAAAATCAACAAGAAAACAGCCGGTATAGTGGAAAAATTATCAGGGCAAGTGATTTTACATGTGCCACTGTACCGGAGTACACCTGCAATTTTAAAGTTATTTCCACCTGTTAGTCCCCTATATATATATGCTGTATATATGCTGCTGGGGAGGTGATGATGATGATTCTTATGGAAAAGCATGTACAATGTGAATGACACCCCCAATGTATGTACAAAGTGACACCCCACCCCCACATGTCATTTACAAAATTGCTAACCCATCCCCACAAAAAATCATCAATTATGAACGGTCCTTAAGCAATTGTCACTGACAATTTAATTCCAATTTTTGGTGTTACAAGCCACAGGGTACCCTAACTGAGTAAATCTGCAGATCTTAGCTTTGAGTTGCGACATAGACGTAGACGTAGACCTAGAAGGTATTAAAGGTGATTATACTAATTTATAGCTTAAGAAAATTAGATGATAACTAATTCCTAAGTAAGCATTTATTGCATACTGATAGGAAAAGAAAATGTTTTATTTACTTTTGCTGATACTTATGTGTTCAGTCATCTTTGTAGCGTTTGATTCTGTTATTTTATCTGCATCCATTACTACCAAGCACCCGAAGAACAAGCTTTTCAACATGTTTAATGTCATCATAACATCGCAGTTTGTGTGGCACTACAACCACTGACCAGTTTCCCTATTGTTTACACAGGAATATCTTATCACTGTTGAATATGTCCTGGCACACCACAAGGCTTGACCGACTAGACTTTGATGTTTACATTTGACAAACTGTGTTCAACATGCTTAACCTACATGTGTGACAAAACAGTATGTATTATTCAAAGCACAGTAAAAGTTGTCTTTATTATTATTACACTTAAGCGAGAAGATCTGACTCCTTACAAATTGCATCTAAAACAAGGAATCTGCAGTTGATATTGTCCTGAAATATTGTATTGAATTAATTGAAAAAATACAATGACACTCTAAAAACATTTTGAATGGACAATAAGCATGAATTTTGGTGCTTATGGCTTTCATATTCATAAACAACTTAAGGTGAGGTGAAAGTGGGTTTTACGTCATACTTGAGAATATTTCGCTCATATGAGGAGGTGCATGCGTGTGTATGTGCAGCTGCTTGTACTAGCCCAGACTTAGCTGGTTTTATAATACCATGCCATGCCGCAATTAAGCATGAATACCCCACTCAGACACATTATACTGACTCCGAGCCGACCAGTCCTTGTTGTACCCATTAATGCCGAGCGCCAGGCAGGGACCAACAAGTACCATATTTTAACGTCTGTTGGTATGACGCGACCGGGGGTCGAACCCGCGACCTTCCGCTCTCCTGGCGGACACTCAAACCACTACGCCACGGAGACGGTCTAAACAACTTAAGAGTCATAGACATTGATGACTGCACTGGCTGCCCTAGTAACTAGTCATTTTTCGAATCCATATTACTGAATGATTTCTATTCAGTAATCTAGTAATCAACAGAGTAAGACAAACAATATCAATGTTGACAATATTCATCAACAATATCAATGTTGACAATATTCACCAACAATATCAATGTTGACAATATTCATCAACAATATCAATGTTGACAATATTGTCAACATTGATATTGTTGATGAATATTGTCAACATTGATATTGTTGATGAATATTGTCAACATTTATTGTTGATGAATATTGTCAACATTGATATTGTTGATGAATATTGTCAACATTGATACTGTTGATGAATATTGTCAACATTGGTATTTGTAACTATTTTCAGAGCAAGTACCTGTGTGATGATAAGCAAGATAGTACCACAAATATACATGACGTAAACATGACACAGTAGCATCTAAACTGGAACATTATGATATGCACAGTGTAGTTGGTGAATTATATCTACCAGCCATGTAACCCTGCTGGCACACACTAGATACCCGTCTCCAACTAATACCTGTGTATACACACTGGTGCACCCCACTGCACACAGGCAGATCCATAGGGAGATACAAGGGAGTCTACACTCTACTTACATGCCACTTGTCAGTATGTGCTTTTGTATTCATTATGTCTTTGGATTGGTCTCTGCTACATAAAGTGCAGTATCAATAACCAGCTAGTGCTTGTCTTTGAACCTAATTGGGCATTTCCTTTATCAGCTATACCCCTTAACACATTACATGGACATATCAATAACTTTTATACCTAACAACCCTCATCAAACACTTCACCAACCAAACAGGTGGCTTTCATTACTATTACTATTAGACAACTTTCACTATACCATGTGTATAGATTACATGCTGGTAGGTTGGACAAAGAGATAAAAAGCAGAGGATGTAGGGCTGGGACGATTCACCACGATACATTTAAGTTTGATACAGCTATCGTATCGTCGACTGGTGTATCGATACAAAACGATACACAACGTTTTTTCAAAACAGTATTATCTTAAACATGATAGAGTACACATTTAGAGAAAAATATGCTAGTATGATAGAGTTACTTGTATATTTATTACAGTAGTGTTATTGTTATACACAAATACCGTGAAATAAATCATTCTAAATCTTAATACTGTACCATTCTTTCAAGGTGTATGTATCGTGATACGAATCGTATCGCAGGTAAAATATTGTGATGTGTATCGTATCGTGACATACTGTATCGTCCCAGCCCTAAGAGGATGTGGTGGATAAGTGATTCAACTGTTAAATAACCAAGAATTTTGTAGTAAAATATTGGGACAGTGGTTTATTAAAATTCAAATACTGTGGAAAGGAGCTTGAAACCTGAATACAAAAATGATTTCAAGTTTAACTTGTTACGATACCATAACTCACATTAAAAACCACCATAACCCACTGGCAAACAGCCAGGGATCCATTCACAGCCCGTACAAATATTCCCCTTAGACCTAGTGAGTGTCTCCATGGTCACTATAATGTGACTTGTGTTTATTTTGAGTGTTTGAGACTGTCGACCCCCTACTTGTTCAGGGCACATTATCCAAATACTTGTGGAGTAACACTAACACCAGGAAGGAAATTGACCAACCAACTCTTACTCACTGGATCTTTCCTATAAACAGGGTGTTACCATCACCATAACAAAGATCTGAGAGATGCTGAGTTTATCAGATACATTCAGTACCGGCATGGTGAAATATCCAAATGTCCATCACTGCATCACCGTGTTCTTTGCAGTGGAATCAAAACCCTAAACCCCTAAATATTTTAAGAGTCAGCATGCTAGGGTTATGGCAAAGATAAATAAATACAAACATAATTTATATCATTTATATACTTATGAAAAGTTCTTTCATGGCGTGACAGATTAACCTAGTCTTAAGAAAGATATTGGTGGTCTTTAACATATTTTGAGCAGTAAAATGACAAGACCTACATGACAAGGTTTCCAAAGCATGAATGCTTTATGACATCTCATGTCAATATCAGTTAACAGTGTCATGATTCCCAGCATAATTTGCAATACCTAAGACCAGACTTCGGTTAAAAGCTTTAAATTCATTACACAGAAATGAATGAAACATTAAATAATATTTCTTCATATTTTTGTGAACAACATATATGACAAATACTGGTAGTTCTCTTCAAAAGAAATTATGACCAACACAGGAAAAAACAAAACTACACATAGAACAAGTATAGATGGATGACAACTTCTCTTATTCTAGAGCCTGACGTTTTGATACAGGTTCTTGTATTGTTTTCAGTGAGAACTACATATATTTGAAATGATTTTTCCCTATCAACAACCTGAATTTTTAAAAAAAAGAAGACAAAAGTCTAATACATGTAAACTCATCAAGTTTTCACGTAAAGCAAAACATCAGACAGCACTTACAAACAGCAAGAAAGCACAATTTAACTAAGTAACCATGGTAATGTCTTCATAAATCTTCTGCCAACACACAACATGACCAACAAACACAACTGGCATGAAGCAAGCATGAACATTGTAGTCTCCAGTTTAAAGATGACCCTTGTTGGAATGTCTGCGACCGTGACCTGACCCCTTTCTCCCAATCTCACTGACAATGGGGGCTGACGAGGGGGGTGTTTTTAGTACCACAGTGTAACACAGATAACATCTTTCTATTCCCTTGCCTTTCAGTCTGCATCTTGCTAACAAGATGATGGACCAAACTGTATTGCTGTATAAACTGTGTGAATTTGAGTGTATGGATTTGAACTGCATCAGACTTGGAATAGTTTGAATACTGTTGCCATAACAGTGAAAATAGAAAACATCTGTATCCATCATGCCTAATGGTTGCTTGTGTGCTCCTGTCAAACAGCTGCAGAAATATAACACTAAACATGCTAAATAGCCACATACTCCTATAAAATGAAATTGAGACTTGATTGTTGATCCCTCAGCTGTCAGTACAACTTCACAAATGCAACTACTACTAACCAAATAATCAACCTTAAGAAATAACAAATTTTAAAGAAGTCAAATCACTGAAGGAATTTTGACTGACTGACTGAGTTTGGTTTCACGTCACTTTTAGCAATATTCCAGCAACATCACGGTGGGGAACACCAGAAATGGGCTTCACACATTGTACCCATGTGGGGATTCGAACCCGGGTCTTCGTCGTGACGAGCCAACGCTTTAACCACTAGGCTACCCCAACGCCCGAAGGAATTTTGAAGCCAGCAAAATCTCTGCATTTGGTAAATATTAATGCATAGGCTAACTAGTGTTCAACAACATCAAGGATCATCACCATTCAGTTTCCATCGCCTCTTACCATGCTTAGATAGTAAAGTAAGTACATGTATGTACCCCTTGCAATGCATTCTGATCCAGAATCCCCCATTAATCCATCTAAGATGAAAAGATGACAAAATTCAACCATGTGAAATGAGTACCAGTTAAGTTAAGCGTATATGTTGTAGATATGGCCTAAAAAAAATGTTGTGGTTCCGATTACCCGACCGACTCTTCAATTCTGGTCCTGACCCTAATTTTTTTAAGTGGTATGAATGAAATAAGCTTTTAGATACCATTGTTTTTCCTCCGGCACCGACAGACATCGGTCTTTCTGATAGAGAAAGTTGACATGATGGCAAAACCTTGATTGAATAAACAATTACACATTGATAAATGTGTTATTAGTTTGTACTTTACTTCTAAAGGAGAAATGTAAAAAATAAAATCCTACCTACCTACCCTAAATTTGAAAGAGGTGTAATCAGAACTACAACATTTTTTATTTGGCCTATCTGATGCAAGAAAAGGTACCCTTGCGGAGTTGCCAGGATATAATGGCAGGGGTAAAAATAACCCATTGCCCAACGTCCGAGTCCAGTGTTTTTTTCTGTCGGGCAAGCAAATTTGTATATCACACTGTACCGGTGTCCAGTTGGACTTTCCAATGTCAATTATGTTAAAATCAACAAGAAAACGGTCGGTAAAGTGGAAAAATTATCAGGGCAAGTGATTTTACATGTGCCACTGTACCAGAGTACACTAGCAATTTTAAAGTTATTTCCACTCCTGAATGGGTATGGGTTCAAATATTCATACATTTTGAACATGCATTAAACCATGTTAACAATGACATATTTGAAGTCAGTTTAAAAAGGTTTAAACCTAATGCAAGTCCCACATGAAACTGCCATTGTGTAAAGCACACAATGCAGCAATCGAGAGCCATACAGGAGTAGCAGTACTCTGGGGTATAGCCCAGGGCTGGCAGTCAAGACATGTTATCAGATTATTGCATGGATCAGTGAACACAATACCCCTGTACAGGTCTACTTGCACTAATTGTCTCAATTTCACAGGCCCTGCAAAGTGTATTGAGCAGGGTGAACCTGGCCTCTTCCTGCGCTTTACGATTATTGTAACTTAAATGTAAAACTCAAAATATGTGGTTAAACCAAACTAGTATTCAAATTTTAAGCACCACTATTATAGGTCAGGGGTCATCATAACCATGTTAACCAATGTTAAAAGTTAAAACATTCACGAATTTGCCTTGATTCAAACACTACTGCAAAGCATCGCATTACAAAACCCATGTTAAAATAGAACATTTTAGAAGATACACATATTAATATAGACATGTATTTACTAATACATTATTATGTTCAAATGTAAGCATTGAAGTCAAGGTGACAGGATGTCTTCATTGAAATGACATAGATGCAAGAGTTACCAGTGCCTATCTCAGTGTTAAAACCTGCCATGTCATTGCTATACTACATTCCAGCTTATACTGAAAAGGCAGTTCACAAAATCTTCCTTACATGATATTAATTCATTACTGCTCATTGGAAAAGCTGTACATTGTGCTGAGAATGTACTTTTAAAGGAAACACCTTCATGATCATATTTATGGAAACGGTACTGAAAATGTGTTTTCAACATGTTTGAAGCCTACAAAAGAACTTGTTTGTGCTCTGATGACTCAATTGAACCTGATTGTAAAGAACTTTCATTTTGTTGGCAGGTGACAATGATTACCATCTGACACTGAGAATGATTCATTATCTATGTCTCTTCCGTGTCTACTGTCAATCAATGCATTCACTGTGACAAAATGCATGCAAGTGATTAGTCACTACTCACTGATAACAGTACATTTCACAAAGATAACAGACTATGATCATCAATATGATAACAATTATTTTAGCAGGGTTTGTTCTACTCACTGCCATGAACATTGATTAAGTATTCTGGCAGTAAATATATTCATTGGTTTCATATTATTTTTCGACTCGATGTGCGCATGCGCAGAGCGTGTAAAAACTATCCACTGGACAACTTGTGGTTTGGTCGTATGCTTTACCGATAGTGTAAACACACTCTAAAGAAAGCAATAATTAAAACAGATATATGGTTTTATGTCGAATGTAACTGATCTCAATTCATTTATGAATGGAAAGGACCGGGGTTAGTTAAATAAATAGCTTTACGTTTGTTAACAAGCTCTTGTATAAACACATCTCATTCTCACCACCACCCGTCCACCGTCCTTCCTGCACATCCCCTTCTCACAACTAAAAAAAAACACATCTCTGATGCAGTTGCCACCAAAATAGGACATCAATTATTGAAAAGCATAGGCAAATTGATGTATGTACTCAACTATGAACAGTTGTCACACGTAATTAATCTTCAGAGCTTTTATTTAGAGTGTTTACACTATCGGTAATACGACTGAACCGGAAGTTGACCAGTTGATATTTTTACACACTCTACGTATGCGCACAGCGAGTCGAAAATTAATGTGAAACCAACAAATGTGTTTCGGTGTAGTTGTCAATGTGCAAACAAACAAGTACGTTTAAAATATCCAAATGATTTTCTGACGTAAGGCAAAGTATGAGGAAACACATGACTACAGCATAAATTAATAAAAACATTATGTTTCATAGAACTATCACCAACAAATTGGTCAGTTGATGCATCAATTATTTTCAGTTGTGACTAGAATCTAGAATGTTTGACAAGGTTTGACACAAAGTGTAAATTCTGCAATATCAATGGTACAAAAACGGGAGTAATCATAAAGTACGGAAAATCGCAATAAATCCATCAACAGGCTTACAATTCGTATTTTTCATGGAGCGCCACACCCTTGCATGTTTTGACATTAGGTGCGCTAGTATTGACTATAATGACATACCGGGGAAATGATAAGTCAACGAGCATTTCAATGGCTTAGCAGCCATTTAAGGCGACAAGGTAACGAGTTTGATGCTGTTAATGTCGGTAACAGTGTATTGCTTCCATGCCTACGTGCCCAAACAGCTTGTTTTTAAACTGGACCCCTTATTTGCGATCTGTGAATCATCTCGAAACCAGACCAGGAAGATTCAAGCCGCATATTTCAACTCACCAGTTGAACGCTGAACATCACGACCAACGTCGTGTGAACAGCTCTTGTAAAACACTTTTCCGATGTCCCCATGATGATTCTTCATGTGAAATCCAGCAGGGAAATGTTCAAAATCATATTCAAAGTAAAGCCACAATCTTCAGGTATTCAGCTCATGTCGACTCCATCATGGTCACATCACCGTTCTGAGCCCCGTATTCGCCGCCGATCGTGAGAAAACATAGTCCGTTTGTTTTGCGAAATCAGTCTCTCTGAGAATTGACAAATGTGTTTTAACGTATGTTGTTGATATAACTAGATATGTTGCCAGTATTGTATACAATTATTAATACCCTAACAACTCATGTTTGCGGAATCGTGTTGGTGTATGGTCGCATTTTTTAGATTGTATAGGCGTATGAATATAGAGGTGTAGTGAGACGTTCTCAGCCGGTTTGTAAACAAATGAAAAACATTGGATAAACATGTGTCTGAGGTGTGTCAACCACAATCGCAGCCGTTTGACGAATAGTACATTTTTGTTAAATGCTAACTAATATTTAAATTAAAACAATTTAAAAGAGACTGTGAAATATGTGAGGCTTTGATAATAGTCAACATTTTCAATGAAGCCAGTGCGAGTTGTTGTCAACTATTTTCCTACAACTGATAATACTAATTGAATGGAATAGAAGAATACTTTAATGCCTTTTCAGGAATTTGTGTTACATCAGCAGAGCTACTGACACATTAGAGAGATACCAAACATGTTTACATAAATTCTTTGATTTAGGTATCTTCACATTTGTTTAAGAGAGATATGGTACTTGGAATAAAGGATGTACGGGCTCTCTTAGTTTTCACAATTGGAACTTTGTAGCGGCGGCCTGGGACGAGGTTGTATTCAGAATTTAAGTAGTGAGTACGGTCAGATATGATTTTGGCAGCTTGATTCACGATTTGCCGCTCATATATTGATGATAAACATTCAAATCTGACTCAAGCAATTTTGTCTATTTTAGATTTGAGATGAACGCACTGAGAGAGACCCGTACCAACAATGGAAGGAAAATGTTAAAATACTCTGAATAAATGCTACATAAAAAGATGAAATCACAGATGGGTTAACATTAAAAGATCTCAGTTTACGCATGAGATGAAGACGTTGTTGACACTTTTTGTATAGGGCTTCAGTGTTAGAGTTCCAGTTCAGCTTAGAGTCAATGAAGGTTCCCAGATACTTATACTCCGACACTGTCTCAACACAATAAGAACCCTAAACACACGCTGGGCAGGTTGAGGACGTATATGGTGTTACATCGCTTTTAGCAATATCACTAGAAAATGGCCTAACACGATGTATCCATGAAGGGATTCGACACCGGGTCTTCGGCGTGACTATTTTACCACCAGGTTACCCACCTAACGGAAGATACGATTGCTTTTTTAAGGCTTTATATAATACAAAATTAACTATTACATAGGTTCTATCCTAAAACAAAATTAATAATATTTGTTCATTTGAAGTGACCATCTGATCACCTCAATATTTTGTTTCCGCAAGAGACGAAACTGCAAGAGACGAAACTATAAATTTATGTCTATTTCCGTTATTGAAAACGGGTTTTAGTCAACAAGGACATAATGGTCAAACAGGCCACACATAATAGTCAAATGGCCACAAATCAATAGCTGCGACATTAATAGTCTTGACATTTGTCAGCCTAATCAGTGTGGCCAGTCAACACACTAACATTACAGAAACTTTTTCAAACACAGACAACTACGACATCGAATTTCGTTTAATAAATGCCTAGAAAGACTACGCGTACACGTTTCCCCGTAGATCAAGGGTCTGTTAGCACTAGTGTGCGAAATATTCACTGGCCCGCTAGACCGTGGGTAGTAAAAATCCACTCTGGCCAGTAAATCTCCACAGTCACTGGCCCGACTGGCTAGTGAATTTTCATGGGATCACTTGTAATGTAACTCTCTCCGACTTGTAAGTCATAATACACTTTTATATCATGCAAGATTATGGCCTGATAAATAAAAGGTGCATCATATCAGCATGTTATTGATGAAACCCGTGTCTACATTCAAATTTCAGGCTAGTGAATTACTTTGTGGGCAAGTAACTTTCAGGCATAACTAGCCCGACTGGCTAGGAAAATTTGGAAACTATTTCGCACACTGGTTAATACAGTGTTAAAATTTGAAGTATGTGAGAGGGTGTAATGGGTGTAAGTTACTGTAGCAGTATTCTGGAAGGGAGAGGACTCCAAGTCTCAAACGTTTGCCACTTGAAACCAAGAAACAATCGGGGCGAAGCGGGACTTTACTCGTCTTGGTGTGGCCATTATGACTTCTTGGAGTGGACACTTTCACGTGTTCTCGGATGTAAGAAGTGTTCGTTTAATAAATATTTATAAAATCGACAGACTTTCACGTCTGGAGTAAGAAACCTGCTTAAAACATATTATTATAATTTCGGGCTCTTCAAATGCTCTTCTTCAGCAAATTTCAAGACTGACTGAGTTTAGTTTTACGCCGCTTTTAGCAATATTCCAGCAATATCACGGCGGGGGACACCAGAAATGGGCTTCACACATTGTGCCCATGTGGGGAATCGAACCCGGGTCTTCGGCGTGACGAGCCAACGCTATAACCACGAGGGATGTGAGATGTGTACAGCAGTGTAGTATTAAATATACACTTACCCAACAAGATATGTGTTCGGGACTTCTACAATCCATATGCATAATAATACCTCACTCCAAAACAAACAGAACTATCAAATATTACACAAGTGTATATAACCTCTACATTCAAATACAACGTTTACTCTGGAGGTGGTGTAATATAAAAGATATACAACAAATCTTATTTTCACCCCAGTCTAAGTAAACACATGTAGGTTCAGTATTATAGGGGCGGTGGGGTAGCCTAATGGTTAAAGCGTTGGCTCGTCACGCCGAAGACCCGGGTTCCATTGCCCACATGGGTACAATGAGTGAAGCCCATTTCTGGTGTCCCCCGCCGTGATATTGCTGGAATATTGCTAAAAGCGGCGTAAAACCAAATTCAGTCAGTCAGTCAGTATTATACTGAGACTCAGAAGAACAGTGTAACGAATAGTAGGCCTACTGAGCCTAAGCGGTATTTTCTTTGACAGTCGTTAGAAAATACAATCGCTTTCTGAAATACTCCCGTAAAAACCTATACACAAAATATGCACGAGAAATAAACAGCGTTATTTTCTTACAGATATATGAGTCGTTATGTAAGTTCGTAATATGATCTGTCAAATTGAAACGCTGTTTATTTCAGCATATGCATTTTTGGGACAATAATACATCGAATCGAGGTATAGATAATTTTTATCAAAAAGACTGAAAATAAGCTTTTCGGAATACTCCGTACGTTTTGTAATATTTGAACATGAGGAATTGTTTGATGTTAAATCAGCGCTCAGCAATATTCCAGCTCTACTGTTGGCTGCCTGGACCCGGTTGTATCAAACGTTAATGAAGCATTAACGTGTCATCAAACGTTCATTGATTATTGTATCATTAAATTCTGTTGTACTAACGTTTTATGTTCATGACTGAAATTTTATCTTGATAGCTTGCTACACTGTGTTCTCTCTTTAGAATTAAAAATAAACCCGATATCGTATCATGCCAGTTGATCTTTAATAATAAAGAATGTCTGTTGTTCTTAAAGGATGGAAGGACGGTGGGGTAGCCTAATGGTTAAATTGTCCTTTTGTCACGCCGAAGATCCGGGTTCGATTTCCAACATGGGTACATGCGTGAAGCCCATTTCTTGTGTCCCCCGCCGTGATATTGTTAAAAGCGGCTTAAAACTAAACTCACTCGATCACATACATTCAACCACGTCACAGAGCCTGCGACGCCTCTCCGTACAAGCATATATAGGTTGACGGGAACCTACTTTCTTACAAAGAATCCACACGGACCAACGTGAGTAAGTCAAGCATGGAGATGTACATAGCGTACAATGCAAACGTACGTATGTAGTAAATCTTGAGTCACAGACTTGATTATTGGTATGTTATTCCTATGACGGTCCTGATCTGATTGATTATAGATCATTTGGAGATTCCAGGTTTTCGAACAGGTGCTGAGCACCAATATCTGATTATACTACTCAACGTTCTCTAAGGATCGTCACTTTAAAAGGTATAAAATCAAATTGTATGCATCTGTTAAAAAACACAACAAAGACATTATCATATAATCAAGAAAAGTCATGTCATGTTACGCACGGTGTCAGCTAAAACAAATAAACCAAAATCAGTCAGATCACCCGTCAGATTAAAATAAAGATCCACGTGATGCGTTTGTCTATTATTTAGAAACCTTTAATTGGTTGTAAAGATGCTAGTATTCCGACAGAAATTCCTTTGAGTTATGCCCCTTTATCAAAACTTCCGGCAATCGATCCACCGTGGCGGGAGCGATCAATAACAACAATAGTGCAGCTGAAATGTCAGGTTGGTGAATGCATGCGAGTTGTTGACGATGGGGTCCAGGAAGAAGAATGCCTCAAAGAATAGCTCAGCTCAGAAAACAGGTAACAGCATTTTCATATTGTGACATGTCACAGTCACACGCCTCCGTGCCAGTGCCACGATGGCACCATTGTCTAACTTTGGTACTATGTCTGTAAGCAGAGTACCCCTCCCCCTTTCTTATCACAAATCCAGCGTTGCGTCACCGTGACAAAGGAAAGGTTCTCTTACAAAAGGGTTTCTGGTGATTCATTGATTAAGCATGCCTAAAGTTAAAAGCGTTTGAGTAATGATGCAAATAGTTGTAAAAAAGGCTAGCTCATGATGATGACATGACATTCTGAACAGTCAGGGTCCATATGGACGCAACATTCAGTATATTTAAGTGATATTTCAATGCAGTTAAATCATAAATTATGGCTAGGAGGGCGAAGAATCATGTACAATGTGAATGACCCCCCAACTTTATGTACAATGTAACCCCTCCCCCTGATTGTCATGTACAAAATCAATGACAACACCCATCCCTACCCCCCAAGTACATGTGTACAAAATAGATGACCACCTAACTCCCCCGAAACAAAGTGGGTGACCCTCCCTTAGATTCATCGGAAACACTTCTGCCCGAATCCCCCTTAAATTTCATTCTAGTCAAATCATGTCACCTGAATATACTAATCGTGATCTGATAAGGATGAGTTTTAACATGTTTCTTAAATTGTATCTGAACATATCCAAAGACTGGAATATTTTCCTCATCGTTAAGGGGGATACGGGCGGAAATCTTACTAAATCATGATCACCTCTGCCAAGCCATAAATTATGAACGATCCCTTGCAATGATTTATTGGCTTTTTCACTTCAAGTGAAATGTGTAATATATTCTGCCATAAAATATTAACCCGATTTTCATGTCTCTCAGCATAAACTAGCACCGCCATGTAGCTGGAATATTGCCAAGCTCGGCATTAACAACAAACCAACCAACCCAAAATTGGTAGTGATGAATCATATATTACCATTTATAACAACCTACCAGTTTAACAACAGTCTCTGAGGCCAGTGAAGTAAATAAATATGCTCTGTCATATAGGATGATTTTTAAAGATGTTTTGTAGGACACATATAGTCATATATATATACTCCTTGTTTCCCTTTCCTAGACTCAATGAGTTGATGGCAAAGAAATGCAAAGACACACATTTCATTCAAAACACATCTGAGTGTTTTTATTGGTATGCCTGATGGTAAAAGTCGTGTGTATTATATGTAGAGTTGAAACAGTCACGCCAGACTACTCCACCATCCAAACCAGAGAAGACAAGAAATGGTGTCAAACCCAAACAGGAGGCAGAGACCAAAACGAAGAAGGCCGGCAAAGGTTCCAACATAAGATTGGCAGCCATTGTTGCCACCAGCAGTCTGGTAGCTGCTGTGGCAGTTTTCTACGTCAGTCCTGAAGTGCAGCATGCCGTGGGTAAGTTACACTGTAACAGTCCAAGTGACTGTAACACAGTCACAGTAACTTAAATAACCTATGTGTTAGACGAGGTCCACTGCAGGTTAGGCTGTAGAAGAAGGGAAAGAATGATATATACGATTCAAGAGGGACCACTTTTCTGAGTCTGAAATATTTCATTTAAATATATTGGGAGCATTTGCCACAAGAAAAACAATTTTGTAGTTTGCATTTTTTCATGCAGGAGCCAAAGCGCTGCTGGATAAGAACATTAACAACAGCTGATGGATAGTGCTAAGTGTCAAGTTGTTGATTGGCTACTTGCTTGCTTGAGTACTTGTCAGGATGTTCTGATTGCATTCATCAATGCTCATAATATCCACTACAGGATTATCTGACCAAGATTCCATTATTTACTGGACACTGTAATATTATGCTAATATTGCTAAGTGCAAATTTTAAAAAAGGCCACACGCATATTCGCAGGTCCAAAAAGATTCGAATGGCATCATCATGTGAGATTCATATTCTTGTTTCTTGTTTCAGGGCAGCTGATAACTAAATATGTCTATGAAGACTTCCCAGGTTTTTCATTGTGGGACAAGAGTGAAAGTGTTGATACCAAGACAGATACGACAGGTGCTCAAAGTGACCAGAGTGATGTTCCCAATCCAGTACTGAAAGAGTCGTCAGGGGAACCAACCCAAAAGGATGCAGATGATCAAGACCCCAAGATAAAATCATCCGAGGCAAGAAAGAAAAAAACGATGAATCTTCCCAAAGCAAAGAGAAGACACAGAAAGAAAAGTATAAATCTGCTGACACCAGCAAAGGAGAGACTAGAGGAAGTGACCCTCCAGATGGATTCAAAGAACACCGCAAAGAGGAAGACAAGAAGAGGGAAGTGAGGAGTGAGGACGGTCGACCCCCTGCACGAGGGGCCAGCAAGATGGAGAGACAGAAGGTGGAGGACGTGTACGCCAAGGCTGACATCACCAACGATGGAGACTTCCGGATCAGGAAGTATCTGGATCAAGTGGACGGTCTGCTGGAACAGGTAATGTGACAAAACTGGGAGATATAATCCAGGACTGCATCGATGTAAGGAGAGGTTCTCCATCTAAATTGTTGGGATGAGAAATGTTCTGTCGTTGATAAGGCAGAGTGGGTTGGGCATGTGTAACAACTTGTAAGCATACATCCATACAGGGGTGGAAATAACCACTTGCCCGACGTCCAAGACCAGTTTTTTTTTCTGCCCGGCTAGCAAATTTTTATATCACACTGTACCGGTGTCCAGTTGCCTTTCCAATGTTAATTATGTTGTTTATTTTTAAAAATCAACAAGAAAACGGTTGGTATAGTGGAAAAATTATCAGGGCAAGTGACTTTACATGTGCCACTGTACCGGAGTACATCATCAATTTTAAAGTTATTTCCACCCCTGCCATAAATTGGTTTCTGATGCTCACATTTATGTAACAATGCAGTGAAATGGAATGTGGAAATTTCCACTTGTGTGACAGGAAGATGACATTCCTTTCATACACAGAATCATAACAACCGCTCTCCTTTGTTGCTTTGATAATTTCTTAATTGACTTTAATAACAGATGTTTGCACCTGTGCATTGTATGTATCCTTCATGAGTCCAAAGACAACTGATCATGCGTTACACAAATGAAAATGTGGGACAGCTTGTGTGTAAATATGGTACTGACCAAAAGTGAAATGATGTAATGAAGATGTAATGTCGATAAATTTTTGTAAAAATTATTTTGAGAATGTAATAACTGGTGTATCATGCGTGTGGTGTCTCCACCATTATGGGATACATGTTCAACTTGCTAGATGTTGTGAGTACTCAAGACCTTGCTATTATTAATGTATACCTCAATGATAGCTTCATTGTAATCTTTTCTTCACTTATAAATTTTTCTGTAGTATCATGTATAAATGTGCAAGGCACTATGGAAATAATACTTTTGCAGGACTGACTGACTGAACCGGGTCTTCGGCGTATCGAGCCAACGCTTTAACCACTAGACTACTCCAACGCCCCACTTTTGCAGGAAAGTACAGTAGTACTTCATGATAACCACCATAGTGTGACATATTTTTATCTCTGCAATCAATAGACAATGTCGTTAGTTCACCCCAGTCTAAGTAAACTTAGTATCAGTATTATTCGTTAGACTGCGACCCGTGAAGGTCCGGGTTAAAATATTTATCTTCAGTAACCGATGCTTGTCGTCAGGGGCGACTAATGGGATCGGGTGGTCAGGCTCGCTGACTTGATTGACACACGTCATCGGTTCTCAATTACGCAGATCGATGCTCATGCTGTTGATCACTGGATTGTCTGGTCCAGGCTCGATTATTTACAGACTGCCGCCATATAGGAATATTGCTGAGTGTGGTGTAAGACTAAACTCACTCACTCACTCGTTAGACTGCTATACTGAGTCTAACAAACCCTAGTAGAAGGTTGTGTCGGCTAATCTTTGAATGACCTATGACCGTCCAATCAAATGGCCAAACGGATTTAACCAATAACCAGTAAGACAACAGCTACTATTTAGGGTTCGGCGGGACTTACAAAATGGCAACAAATTTACGCAAGATGACATCCTGGAATATTGACAAAACGCTATTTTCAGGGACTGTTTACTCACTGTTGTGAATAATGATGTCCTCCATGTGTATCGGGCGGTGGGGTAGCCTAATGGTTAAAGCGTTTGCTCGTCACGCTGAAGACCCAGGTTCGATTCCCCACATGGGCACAATGTGTGAAGCCCATTTCTGGTGTCCCCCACCGTGATGTTGCTGGAATATTGCTAAAAGCGGCGTAAAACCAAACTCAGTCAGTCCATGTGTATCACCTGGAAGCCATCGTACGGAAAATAGCATTCGGAATCGTTCGAGTATAAACATTTTTCGAGGTAAAAGTTCACACGGTATCTGCGAAAGTTAGCTTTTGCAATTTGGTAAGCTGTGTTCTGATTGGTCAATTCAAAAGGTTCTACTAGGGTTTTGTTAGACTCAGTATAGCAGTGTAACGAATAATACTGAGCCTAAGTTTACTTAGACTGTAGTTCATGCTTGCAAATAGTCAACAATAAACCAGATCCCATGTTCCCTAATGAACTTGATTATTTGTCAGGGTAATGAGAATTCTACGACTATGGGATGCAAGTTAGATCCCCTGTCATGACGACTTAATACTCATTTGGCTGACATCAAGATCATCACTCTCAGTGTCATAAACAGTTTCAACAGAAAATGCTTTTCTGGATTACGAGCAAATAGTTGCAGTCCGTTGGTGTAGCCACAAAACCAGTAATTCTTGGTGATATGAAACATTCAATACTTCAAGGAAATATATAATCTGAAAATAGGTGGTTAAAATATGTTTTAAAGTGCATGAGAGGCATTGTTTGATCCACAGTCTAAAACCATATATACCTGTTGTATTTTTAGAACAAGATAGATGAGGCTTTGGCTGAATATAATGAGATCCTGGACAGCAGCCCCTCGAGTCCGAGGGCGCTGTATGGGCGTGTCGTGGCCCTGGACAAGCTGGCCGAACAGCGACGTAGCAATGAGATCCTGGAGATGTGCATGGTAGCGTTTGAAAAGGTGTTGAAGATACCCGACGTTCCGGACCAGTTGTTTAAGATAGTTGGACGTCGACTGGCAGACAGGCAGCAGTTTAGAGGTAAGTTTACCTGAAGTTCTTGCAATTGTGATATTGATATTGATTATTGCTTGATGTTTTCTTAGCACATGTATTTTACCTTTACACTAATCTTATCACATTCTCTACTGCTTGGAGTGAATGAGTGAGTGAGTTTAGTTTTACGCTGCACTCAGCAACATTCCAGTTATGTGGTAGCTGTCTGTAAATAATCTAGTCTGGACCAGACAGTCCAGTGATCAACAGCATGAGCATCGATCTGCTCAATTGGGAACCGACGATACGTGTTAACCAAGCCAGCGAGCCTGACCACCCAATCCCGTTAGTCGCCTCTTACGACAAGCATGGGTTACTGAAGGTTCATTCTAACCCGGACCTTCACGGGTTCTACTGCTTGGAGGGGCGGGGATGTAGCCTAATGGTTAAAGCGTCGCGCTGAACCCCCGGGTTCAATTCCCCACATGGGCAGAATGAGTGAAGTCCATGTCTGGTGATATTGCTGGAATATTGCTAAAACTAAAAGCGGCATGAAACCATACTAACCCACTCACTGCTTGGATATCTGCTGTTGTAGTCACTGGTGTGCCTGTTCCAGATTAAACTGATTGTTGTGTCTGCTGCTGTGGTACTGGTGGCGTATAAGTTTATTAGAAGGAACTGTCAGAATTGCATTTATTGGCATTCTAATCTTCAATCCTTTTTATTCCTTGGAATATTGCTTAAAGCATTGTAAAACTAAACATTTTCACTCCCTCTTGAAGAAATAGAACCAGAATGTCAGTATCATTTGATGGTTGATACACCAACTTTCTATAATTGTGCATAATTCCCAACCATGTATTGACTACCTTGAAGTGATCAGGGTCAGGATGGATTTATAGTTGAGTCTGCTTATTTTAAGGCTATAGTCCTCGATCCCTATCAGGGTCAGGATGGATTTATAGTTGAGTCTGCTTATTTTAAGGCTGTAGTCCTCGATCCCTATCAGGGTCAGGATGGATTTATAGTTGAGTCTGCTTATTTTAAGGCTATAGTCCTCGATCCCTGTCAGGATCAGGATGGATTTATAGTTGAGCCTGCATATTTTAAGGCTTTAGTCCCCGAGCTGCCAAGACGTTTGAGTTGCTGACATCACGTTTCCCATATGACATCACGCTGATGAAGGAGCTGGGAGTGAGCTACCTGATGATAGGCCATAACCAGGATGCCAAACAAGTCTTCGCAAAGGTAGGATGGCTTCATGTTATAGCTTGTTACTCTCACTGAACTGACAGAATGGATGGTTGGAATGGTTGTAACTTAGGAAAATGCCATCCATCATTATAATATTCATAGCATTTAAATCAAACTAGAACTAAAAGAATTTACGTTTTATTAAATTTAAAACATTATGTTTTCATTCTGCCTTGCTTTCGAAAATTTAGTAACATCTTTTCTATGTTTCATTACCATTTCCCTTCCATGAAACTTGGAGTGGAGAGTATCTGATGTTTTATGGAATACTGTTGAATTTGTCTCATGTTGGAAGATAAAATAAATGTTGGGATAATTTTGGTTTGGGCTTATTAATCATTGTCTTGATATGTCTTTATGCTTCTGAGTTGAAATATTCACTACAAAAATTTTAATACAATAAGACTCTTACCTTGGGACCAGCTTTAACAGTATGTAGCAGTTTTGTGACATTAAAGTCTACGATTGAATTGTTGGAATATAAAAAATCTTCAGTTTCTGAGTTCACCTTGGAATCAATATGTCTATGTTACCACTTATTTTGCAAAAGTAGCATTGCTCCACTTGTAAGGCATAGTGAAACTGCAGAGCATTATTGTAGAGGACATGCCCACTGTCTATGTCATTTCATAACCATACCTTCAGTTACAACTTTTCTGTTGCTAAATTGTTTTTGGTTTAAGATATCAATAAATAAATGTATTACGCAAGGGATATCACAGGACTTCATTGATGTCATCATTTCTTAGTATTGCTGTGCATGGTGATACTACCGGTATTAACCCATATTGTACTAATCATGACAGCCTCTGTGGTGTAGTGGTTAGAGCATCCGCCCTGAGAGCGGAAGGTCGCGGGTTCGATCACCGACCGCGTCATACCAAAAGACATTAAAATATGGTACTTGTTGGTCCCTGCCTGGCTCTCGGCATTAATGGGTACAACAAGGACTGGTCGGCTCGGCGTCAGTATAATGTGTCTGAGTGGGGTATTCATGCTTCACTGCGGCATGGTATCTAAGTGGGCTTACACTATAAAACCAGCTTAAGTCTGGGCTAGTCCAAGCAGCCGCACATACACATACACATGCATGCACGTCGTCATATGAGCGAAATATTCTCAAGCACGATGTTAAACCCACTTTCACCTCACCTCACGTCACTAATCACCATAACGTAAGACACCAGACAGTACTCAGCTCTCGTCATGTTGCAGGTACTGAAGCTGGACCCAAATGATGGCTTTGCACTGGTTCATTATGGATTTATTCTGAAGACTGATGAAAGGAACCCCATTGAGGCAGTTCCATACCTGGAACGTGGAGTGAAGAGTGCAGCAAGGGGACCCGTGATGGTCGTTTCTACTACCATCTTGGTGATGCACTGCACCGACTCGGGAACACAGAAAAGGTGGGGCCATTATGGAAACATTACATTCTTAATAATTTTGTCCCCTTCCACAGAAAACAAAACATGTGTACCTGTTTATCTGGAAGTAAGTACTTATGCATGAATGAGGTGATATTACAATCCTTGATATCTTTGTAAATATGGTACTGTTTTTCTAACCTGGACCATTTTTCTTCATGATGATACCATGTAATGTACATCTATGATCAGTATGCTTCAGCAAATGTTTATTATGCTTTTCAGGCTTATAGATACTACAAGCAGGCAGCTTCCCTGGGCCTGTTTCTCTCTCCGTACCAACGATCGCTGTACAATGTAGAAGACCTCAAATCACATCCCTGGTGGACACCTAGAGAGACGGGCCTTGCTCAGCAGCTGAAGGTGGGTAGTGGAGACAGGCTATGCTCAAACACCTGAAGGTGGGTTGTGGAAGATGGGCCTTCTCAAGAGGGTAGTGAAGACGTGCCTTGTTCAGCACCTGAAGGTGGGTAGTGGAGACAGGCCTTTCTCAACACCTGAAGGTGGATAGTGGAGACCGGCCTTGCTCAGCACCTCAAGGTGGGTAGAGGAGACAGGCCTTGCCCAACACCTGAAGGTGGGTAGCGGAGACAGGACTTGCTCAGCACCAGGAGGGGGATAGTGGGAGACAGGCCTTGTTCAGCACCAGAAGGGGGATAGTGGGAGACAGGCCTTGTTCAGCACAGGTAGGCTTTGCCCAACACATGAGAACTATTATGGCCATGGGTAAATGTGAAAGGTAATGGAAGAGTTTTACGATGGGGTTATAGATACACAATACAAGATAATGATGGGGTTATAGATACATGATATGCCATAATGATATGCTTCTCTCAACAGACACTGGAGCAGCACTGGCAGGAGATCAGAGACGAAGGACTGCGGCAGCTCAATGTTGAATCCAGCAAATTTCTGTTTGAAGATGAGAATCTCCGAGAGAAGGGCGAGTGGAAACAATTCACTCTCTATACACAAGGTGAGGAAGGGGAGTGGCAGCCAAAGAGAATCTGGTTGAACAAATTAACAGTAACGTCAAACAGAATAACTTACGAACATGAGTTTATAGAACACAATGTTTGCAGAATGACATCATGTCAATTAAATCATTTAATATATGCATTGTTGTTTAAGGCTTGCCCTATGGTTTTGTGAAAGTTGTGGGGGGACTCTTTAAGGCGTCTATTAGTTTGGTTGAATAACTAGTCTAAGCTTCATGGTCGTTAGGTTTTGTGGTTTACCACGGGCCATTATTAGTGTTGATCTGGAAGGCTGTGGCACTGTGGGTTACATGTGCAGTGTATCAGGACATGATAATGCCTCTTGTCAGTCTGTATGTTGTTTGAGTGGACTGTATGTGGGAATGTTATTTGATTAGATGCTCATTACTTTGAATTAAATATCCTACATATGGTCCAACATGTATATGAACCTGCCATCTTATACCCTCTGCATATCCAAACCAGGTTTTAGACAATTTCTGACATAATGCATTAGGAGAGAGTCACATTTGCCCTTTTGCAAACCATGCCATTTGTTATGGATGTATCGAAAGTTCTTGGAAATAATCATTGAACAGTGTCATCAAAATGAATGGAAACCTCCAAAATACTGACTTAAAAGATAAATAGAGATGCAAGTGAGTTTAGTTTTACACTGCTTTTAGCTGTATTCCAGCAATATCACAACTTGTTTAACTGTTTATCAGTTGCCCTGTATTCTTCAAAACCAGTGTCAAAACGCGAACAGACTGGTACCTGTGAAAGAGCTGACCCTGGGGGAAAATGTAACAAGAAGTCCAATTGGACAAAAATAGACAGATGTCCTCAAACATTTAAGCTGGCTTAAGTATGAGTTGAATGTTGAAAGTTCAAAAATGTCCCTGTATTACTTCTATGACTACATACTAGATACAAGAAATTTGATGAGTACCCTTATTAAAAACATATTTGTTATAGTCCCCAGCTATGCCTATGATATGTGTAGTTTATGTAGTTTAATGCAGAGACAAGAGTTTGCAATACTCCCCATGAAATTAGAATGAGCTGATTATGAATGATTATACATCACCAATGTGTTCCACGTCATCAGGAAAGAAAAGTCGGAAGAACTGTGAGAAGACCCCTGTGACATGTTCCCTGATAGACAAGATCCCCGATGTCCGTGACTGTACGCGGGGACAGGTCTGTACTCCAACAGTGGTCAATATGCAACATCACTGGTCCAAACTTTGAATATATTGTATTTGGTGAGTGACTGGAATACAATGACATGTCAACCAAGTCAGCGAGCCTGACCAGTTAGTCGCCTCTTATGACAAGCATAGGTTACTGAAGATCAATTCTAATCTGGATCATCGCAGGTCTTGTACTTGGTAATTAACCATCACTTCCTGTGCTATGATGCTGTTCATAATGAAAGCAGTATTCCATCATTGCCTTTAGCTGAAGATGGATACAGTGTAGATTACCACAAGTATTTTCTCTACCTATCATTCATATGATTTAGGGCAAGGAAACAGTTTTTGTAAAAATCTCCACTTGTGAAAGTGAAAAAATAGAGTGAAACCTGGACTAACATCTAGTGTCTTAAATTCAAAAAAAAAAGTTCTGAAGTTCCTAAAGTATAGTGAAAAGAAGCCCAGAGTCTTCCTTCATTGTCAGACTGAAACTGTGGTAATCTAGACTTGCCACATTGTCTAGACTTGCCACATTGTCTAGACTTGCATAGGCTGTATTCAGTATATTTGATTCAGAGCCTGTATGACAGACTACACGAAACGATGTATACTGAATATTAACATGAGGCCTTGTTTTAGATGATGATACTTTACCATCCTCTCAAAATTTACAATGGCAGTATTGCTTAATATGGTCAGTCCATTTTTCTATTGGATCTTATTCCAGTGGTAATGATCTATCTAGCTTTCCTGCAAGGAGATAAACCTGGTTATGTAGTTCATCATTGCAGTGCTTTGTCGCAAGCTGTTCTCAGTCACTCAATATTTTATAGTTAATAGTTTGAATCATTGAGAGGGTTATCTCCTAATTAGCTGTGGTATGTCTGCGATACTGCACTCACCTTCAATTATGAATTCAAATTCAGCAATTGCATTTCTGCTAATCAGCAATATTTATCAATAATTGATCCACCTGATTATGACAGACCCACCAATCAGAATCGAGTATCACACTCTGTTATGGTATGATCTGATGTAACATACATTGAAAGCACAGAGTGTTTACAACAGAGTGTATTTGTAGGTGAAATTCTCGGTGATGCAGCCAGGAGTACATGTGTGGCCACACTGTGGGCCGACCAACTGTCGGATCAGATCCCACCTCGGACTGGTGGTGCCACCTGGGCCACGCATCAGAGTCGGTAACGATACCAGGTGAGTCTTGTCGGGACATTGAAAACCATGACATGAATTTTCCTTAACACTGCATCAATAACTACAAGCATCGGTCAAAGTCATGTTATATTTTCAGGATCGCCTCTTCCAGATACTTTGTTGAGATTTAATAATATTTGTATGGAGATAGATGGTATAGTACCCCATCTTGCTGCAGGAGGTGATCATGGGAATGGGATGGTCGAATTGTTTATGTAACATCAATAGAGTTACCGATAATAAAACTGCTCACAGCTTTCATGGAAAAGCAAAGGTACTGGTGTTCTTGACACAGTAATGACCCAGCTGGTTGTAGCTTGAGACAGCTGTGTTTGTTTGCTCCCAGTCAGAACCTTGGGGTATTAATAAGGATTGGAGTGAACTTTGGTCACTGGAAGCCTTTTTTGTGGTAATTGAGAAATCGAGAATTCAGGGTGATCTCTCTCACTGATATTGTGACAAATAACTTACAAAATGATTTGAAATGTTCCTACTCCTTTGATATTATTCCTCCAATTTTAACTTCACTAAGCTGAGGAGGCGGTGGGGTAATAAACCTGTGAAGACTGTTCCCCACATGGGTTCTGTGTTCTGGTCAGAAGTGGTCTTCACTAAGCTGTTGATAAGGAGGCGGTGGGGTAGCCTAGTGGTTAAACCGTCCACTCGTCATGCTGAAGACCCGGGTACGATTTCCCACATGGGTCCATTGTGTGTAGCCTGTTTCAAGTGTCCTCCACCATGATATTGCTAGAATATTGCTGAAAGCGGCGTAAAACCATATTCACTCACTCACTGTTGATCAGAAGAGGTGTCTTGTACCCTGACAGTGAGTTAGTGAGTTTAGTTTTACGCCGCACTCAGCAATATTCCAGCTATATGGCGGCGGTCTGCAAATAATCGAGTCTGGACCAGACAATCCAGTGATCAACAGCATGAGCATCGATCTGCGCAATTGGGAACCGATGACATGTGTCAACCAAGTCAGCAAGCCTGACCACCTGGTCCTGTTGGTCACCTCTTACGACAAGCATGGGTTACTGAAGATCAATATTCTAACCCGGACCTTCACGGGTTTTACCCTGACAGTCTTGGTTGAAGCTCACAATATCCATCACTTGATTGTCTGGTCTCCATCATTTGCATCCTGCTGTCATGTTGCAGTAATACATTCTTGTGCAAACAAACAAATGGTTTTTATTCTGTTTTCCAGAGAGTGGGAGGAAGGCAAGTTCTTAATCTTTGATGACTCGTTCGAGCATGAGGTGTGGCATGACGGGGACCGGTTCCGTCTGGTTCTCATCATGGACTTCTGGCACCCAGATCTCACAGATGACCTCAAGTGGAAACTGGCGCCCATCTAGCCCCACATCATTTTGGGGGGAAAAAGCGGAAAAAATAATTGGTCACAACAGGTTTATTATCTGTCAGATTCGTCCAAAATGAGGACAGATATATTTTTAGTTTGTAAAATTCATCCAAAACTAGGACCTGACTGTTAGTTTTTTGTTTGTTATTTCAGTTTCATCTAAAATAAGGACACAACAGGTTTACTTTTAGTTTTTAAGATTCATCCATTGCTAGGATCTTGAGAGTTTCTTTTAAAATAGTTTTAAAAAATATTAAAGTCAGAAACAGAGTCATATTTTGTTCAGGTATATATCTTGTACTCATGTTTCATTGGTATTTAACTCTCCATGAACAGAAAACAGGTCATAAAGTTTGGCCCTTTGGGGCACTTATCTGTCTTTATTGGGAGGAGTTTGTTTCCAGAGGCTATATGATAGTCGGAATTGGTGATTTCATGGAACAAATTTTTGTGGCCTTATGAACATGAATATGATGGGTAGATACTTCACAGAAGCTGCAAGGAATAAGATGGTGCATCAGTGTGTTGGTTTCAGTTAAGGAAAACTTGTCAGTACAAGTTGTTGGCTTTACAAGGAGGGTCATGCTCACTGACTGCTTCTAATAACAAGTAACTCTCCTTTCGTCTGGATTAAACATAGCCCTCATTAATACAGATATTTGGTCACATCTGTATTTATTGTTAATGAATTTGCTTCTTGATTTTCTCTGTCTCCAGCATTGATTAGCTTTAACTTGCCAAACAAACAGGCAATCAGGCCTCTGTTGGAAAGAAACTTGTCTTATCTGAAAACTTAAATATGTTGATGAGATGTTGTTTTGATGATATTATTGAATTGATAGTACCGGTAATAATCCCACCATGAAGGCTGTGAGTGATGGGTAAAGTTGTATAACGGGTAACAAACCCAACTGACTATTGGCACACAGGTGATATTCGATTATTTACCCAGACTGTAGGGACCAGTTGGTTATTGCTTGTACCTCGACACATGAGGTGCTTAGACTACAGGAATAACGGATACCTTCCGCCATCTTTGAAAGCACGCGAGTTTACTTAGGTATAGGGTAAGGTTCAGGGTTAGTGTTAGGGTTAGGGTAAGGGTTAGGGTGACATGACACTATATGGCTTGTAGGTACCCAGGGTGTGAGGTGTACACATGAGGTGCTGACTACAAATAACGGATACCTTCCGCCATCTTTGAAAGCATCCAGTACTTAGGGTTAAGGTAAGGGTTAGGGTAAAGGTTTGGGTAAGGGTTAGCGATTGGGTGACATGACACTAAACAATATGGCTTGTATGTATCCAGTATTCTGTAGGTGTAAACCATGAGGTTACAGAGTGAGTTCAGTTACTTTATATTTCTAATTTGAAAATTCTGCATCACTGTTACCCCATGTCTTCATAAGTGAAGAAAGTCAGTATTTGGATATTACTGAAGCAATTATTTCTTTCTGTTATGTTTTTCAGTGTTCAAACTTTACAAATAAGATCAAGGTGTCCTTTATATTGAGGCGTATAGCCTTTGCCCCTTTGTTTATACACAATGGTTAGTCTCTAGGATCCAAGGGGCCACTTTTAGCCTTTATTTCTAACCCTAATAGTGTAAACCATTGCTCTGTGAAGTAGAAGATTGTAATTGTCCTCTTCACTCACATGAAGCCAATGCAAGAAATGTATGTTTGCCAGTATGTACTCTGCTTGCTCTGCTAATGGTAAAGCCAATGCATGTAACATTTGCAATGATTCATGGAGTTAACATGTACAGTTTTATGCAATGCAGATATATGATCTCCCTTATTCTCGAAACGTTGGCTCTAAGAATTCTTAACTTTGATTGTAGCTAATGAGTAAAGAATGGGCTTAAGATTCATATATATTCGCATCCTGGTATGTACAAATGTTTAGAATGTATGATGAAAAAAGTTCTGTCCCAAGGGAGTGCATTGTTCTCAAATTTTTAGAAAGAAATATTAATGTCTTGATTTGTAAGTATTTTGTCAAAATGTGCACAATACATTATGCCCATTTACTGTTTTGAGGACCCACATATTTCCTGCAATGATCATTGAAATATATTGATGTGGGTCCTGTGAACCCCGGTCATGGTAAACCCCTGTTTATACATGAGGTCAGTCCTATATATGGCCATTGTCATATCATACCTGAAAATAGACACCGTTTCACATATCACTGCCATTTGACTGACTTTGGGTAACTTTACCAATTATTGGGGCAAATACGGTATCAAAAGATTCTCTTGATGTTTATACTTCCTACCTTCCCAGAAGAAGGGGAGGTACAGAATCTGTTCAATCAAATCTGATTTAAGATTGATTAACTTTTGGTAACTTGGGCTTTTATTGTGGCAAATATGGTATCAAAAGATGCTTTTGAAGTTTACGGTGCTGACCTTCTGAATAAGAAGAAAGGTTCAACATCAGTCCAATCAAATCTAATTCAAGATGGAACAACTCATTCATGTATGTGAGTTTGACTAAACTAGTCATTTACAATTGAATTCTATTGCCATAATTGGAATCAAAACATATTTATTTATTGAATGTAGAATAGAAATTGTTTTTTCATTTCCAGTCTTACCCAAAGCAGTATTTGTTGAAAAAATATTCTGATTAGTTAAAAAATTGCAAGTACCTATCAATACATGTAAACATGCCAGAGGTCTGTCTGGGAACAAAACAAACATGACAGTGCAATATATTGAATTCTAATTCAACTTAGTATGTAACACGAGTTCTGATTGGTCAATGCTATAAATTTCTGACCGTTTAATCAGCATATACGGTCGCAATTTGAAAACCGATTCACCAAAACCTTTGAATGTATGCCTACTCTATTGGGGTAAGCTGTTTTGCAGGACATTGTCATTTGCAGAAGCCATTGGTCAATTAACTCCCCTATCCAGTTAAAATGGGTGGAATTTGTGTTAAAAAAGACAAAACAGTATCATAAATTTAATTCTAAGTTCACACAACTTACTCGCAACGGGCTGTTGACCCAACACTGTCAGATCATGAAAAAAGATTATGACGTCATTGTGGAGCAGGACGTCACCTGCTGTGACGTCATTTGACAACAGAAAAGATAATGGCCCGTAGATGAGGAATCAGCCGGCTGCTCATTTCTGTAACTAGAGAGCGGTTTCATCATAATTCCATCCATTTTATCTATAATACTATGATCTGTTCATCATTGTCAGATTTAGTCTGTGTGCACATAATAAACGTGTGTAGTTTGAAAAGGGAACTACTTCTCCTGGCGATGGTGTAAGTTCAAGGAGTGATATGATTAACCTTTGACCTAGAGGAACTTTGACCTGGTTTAAATAATGAATTTCTTTCACGAAACAACAGCATAAAACGAGTTGTATTAGAATGGGGATAACTGTACTGTGTTTGACAAATTGGGGACGTATACGGATGGTTATATAGCCGCAAATTTAACGTTATATCTGCTCCGCTTATGCATAGCCGAAATAACTAAATTTGCGGCTATATAACCACCGCTATACGTCCCCAATTCATCAAACACAGTACAGTTGTCCCTAAATGAATTGTTGAACTTTGTACAAGGTATTCACACAGTTCTGGAGAACAGTTTGTGTTTTAGAAAAGGAATGTTCATACCACCGTTTGTATTGCTCAGAACTTGACTGAATCTGATATGTAACTGCATCTGTGTCCTGTAACATATCAGTGTCTCACCAGACCACAATACCATATGTATTTGTGCAGCTGTAGAATGCCGCGAGCAAATTTGTTGGCGTTAATTGCCTCTACAGTTCAACATGTTTGTATATTTACCATACCTTGACTAAAAAACTGTCACTTTGTGTTCGTCATTGAATGTGAATTCAGATTGAAACTGTTATTGTAAATCTCTAATTTACATCTGGAGTCAAACATTGTTGTATCGAAGTTGGAGGGACCTATGTAAATACATGAAGTATTCCAAGGTTGTCACAGCCTAAATATGGAGAATAATGAAAGTAATAAGGGGTTAAGGTTTTTAATTGAGAGAACCGTATGTTTGACTCAATAGTGTTTGAATGTACATATTTACCTACACGTAATGTTGCAGTTGAACATACTATTGAAACATTCATATTGTCACTTTGTATGGACAATATGTTTGGGTTGGTTCTTAGTACTTGGTTTTTGGATGAACATAACCAAAATATAAAAACTGTCAGGAAATCAAATTAGAACTATATGACAAGTATGTTTTTGTTCTTACCAGTTCAATATTAAAACCTCCATATTGGTGTGACAAGGGAAGTAACTCTTCCACTTTTCTTTCAAACATGGAATGTGGCCAATGTTTTGACCTAAAGACATAATTCTGCTGTCTTGAATTATGACAAGCAGCTTAAACATTTATCACCTTACTGATCATGAGTATATTTATGTATATATGTCAGGGATTACTTTAAGATGGTGGTCATTGGGGTAGCCTAGTGGTTAAAGATTTGCTTGTCTTGTCAAAGGCCTGGGTTTGATTTGGTGTCACTAGCCATAACATTCATGTGATATTGCTAACAGCTGCATTTACTGCGCTCCCTCATTTCAGGGTAGAAGTTGTTTGGAAATAATCTTTTTGATTTAATTACTCACACTCAACTTTTGAACACAAGTACTGGTATATATATCAAGTACTGAGAAGCACCATTATTGATACCTAAAACTTCACTCACTCCAATCCGACTTGTATCGATTGTATCTACAGTTTACAAATACAATAATATATGTTAGTTTGGTCTATAACTAAAAAATAGAAACAACTGTTCTTAGATTACAATAATCAAACTCCCTGTATGACTGGTATTTGTAGTTTATTGTATTGATGTTTGGAGTGTTTTGTTGTCTGAGAACTGAAACAGTGTTAACGAGGCAACAAAGACGATTCTCTGACTTAATGTCAGATACAGGCAGACATGCTGTCGTAACATCAGCTGTATTAAATCTGCAGACTGAAAATTGTAAATACATATCAGCCCTGTAAAGCTTGTTTTACTCACACAAATCTTATGTGAAATATGAAACACCTATGAAGGTGTTTTGATTACTTTCTTGTAAAGTGTGATGTGCTCATACAATGTAAGATATTATTGTGAAGAAATAATTGTGCATGATTGATATGTTAAATCTCAACTGTAATACTTTCTGCTTGTCTTTAAGATGTTACCATGTATTATAAATATTCCACTTATGTATTTTGCATATTTGCCATTGAAATCTCAATTGTAACTTTATGCATACTGACAATGTATACCACTTGCAAAGAATGATATTTATGTGGAGATGGAAGAGTTCTAAAACAGACCATACATTTCGTCAGTGTATGAAATAAGGCCCTCCAACTGCCCGAGACGGGCTAGATTTCTGATGGACGGTCTAAATTTACAGCTAGCCAGCCCGATGGTCTGGTAAAATCTGAGTAAATTCACCATATCTTGGTGTCTGGTCTGGTTAAATCCATTTTGGGTTGGTAACATTTTAAAGTTACCAGCCCTGATGTCTGGCTGGGTTTTTGGCTTATTTCATACGCTGATTTTGTATGTTGATTTACATAAGAATGTCACAGACATTGGTACTAAACAGATGGAAGGCAATCAAAATATGCATCACAGATAGGACTTTTTATTAGCCTATGAAATGCACTGGACACTATGCATGGTAGATATTTTGCACGCAGGTGTAAATACGCCATCTTTGTGATCTAATCCCTCATGTTATTCAACAATGCTGTGCATATCACAGTATAGTCATGGTTCTTGTCATTACGAAGTACATCTCAGAACATTAGCCCTCTGATACTGGCCACATCTTTTGAATGTTCAATTTAATGATTCATGCAGCCAACTATTCTCAAAAACCACATTTAAAATGTTGAATAGGACTACTTTGGTTTTGTTTCCCTTACTGCTCAGTCTGGGGATTAGAGATATGAAATTATTAGTAAGTAATGAAACAGAAAATGTCATGTTCATTAAACTAATTTGTGAATTATTTCGCCTCTTATCCATTCAAACTAATAAGAGAGCTGTCAACAATCAAATATATGACCCCATTAAGAG